ATGAAACTAGAAATCAACTACATGAAGAAAATCAGAAAAGCAACAAAAATGTGGAGACTAAACAAAATGCTACTGAACAACGGTTGGGTCAAGGAGAAATAAAAAAATTCCTGGACACAAATGGAAATGAAAAATACAACATGCCAAAATCTGTGAGATACAGCAAAAGCAGTTCTAAGAGGGAAGTTTACAGCAATTCGGGCCTACCTCAACAAACAAGAAAAATCCCCAATGAACAATCTAACAGTGCACCCACATGAACTGGAAAAAGAAGAACAGACAAAGCCCAAAATCAGCAGAAGGAAGGAACTAATAAAAATCAGAGCAGAAATAAGTGAAATAGAGACTGAAAATACAATAGAAAAAAATCAATGAAACCAAGAGCTGGTTCTTTCTAAATATAAACAAAATTGACAAACCTTTAGCCAGACTCACCAAGAAAAAAAGAGAGAAGGCTCAAATAAAGAAAATCAGAAATGAAAGGGGAGAAATTACAACAGACACTTCAGAAATACAAAAAGATTAGAAGAGAATATTATGAAAAGCTATACACCAACAAATCAGATAATTTAGAAGAAAGAGATAAATCCTTAGAATCATACAACCTTCCAAAACTGGATCAAGAAGAAGCAGAGAATTTGAATAGACGAATCACCAGTAAGGACACTGAAACAGTAATAAAAAATCTCCCAAAAAATAAAAGTCCAGGACCAGACGGCTTCCCTGGTGAATTCTACCAAACGTTCAAAGAAGACTTAATTCCTATCCTTCTCAAACTCTTCCAAAAAATTGAAGAGGAGGGGACGCTTCCTAACTCATTCTATGAAGCCAACATTATCCTGACACCAAAACCAGACAGGGACAACACAAAAAAAGAAAATTACAGACCAATATCACTGATGAACATCAATGTAAAAATCCTCAACAAAATACTAGCAAATCGAATACAACAATACATTAAAAAGATCATACATCATGATCAAGTGGGATTTATTCAAGGGATGCAGGGATAGTTCAACATCCGCAAATCTATCAATGTGATAGACCACATTAACAAAATGAAGAATAAAAATCACAGAATCATCTCAATAGATGCAGAGACAGCATTTGACAAGATCCAACATCCATAAAATGGGTATAGAAGGAAAATATCCCAACATAACAAAGGCCATAAATAACAAACCCACAGCTAATATCATTCTCAATGGAGAAAAACTGAAAGCCATCCCTCTAAGAACAGGAACCAGACAAGGACGCCCACTGTCACCACTCTTATTTAACATAGTATTGGAAGTCCTAGCCAGAGCAATCAGGCAAGAAAAAGAAATAAAAGGGATCCAAATGGAAAAGGAAGAAGTGAAACTGTCACTACCTGCAGACAACATGATTTTATATAGAGAAAACCCTGAAGAGTCCACTAGGAAACTTTTAGGAATAATAAATGAATACAGTCAAGTTGCAGGATCCAAAAACAGCACACAAAATCGGTTGCGTTTCTACACACTAACAATGAAGTAGCAAAAAGAGAAATTAAGAACACAATCCCATTTACAACTGCAACAAAAAGAATAAAATACCTAGGAATAAACTTAACCAAAAGGTGAAAGATTTGTACACCAAAAAGCATAAAACATTCTTGAAAGACACTGAAGAAGACACAAAGAAATGGAAAGATATTCCATGCTCTTGGATTTGAAGAACTAACATGTCAGTTAACTAACATGTAATTAACATGACAGTTAAAATGTCCATATTTCCTAAAGCAATCTACAGATTCAGTGCAATCCCTATCAAAGTTCCAAAACATTTTTCACAGAAATAGAACAAAGAATCCTAAAATTTATATGGAACAACAAAAGACCCCGAATAGCCAAAAAGAATCCTGAGGAAAAAGAAGAAAGCTGGAGGTATCACACTCCCTGACTTCACAATATACTACATAAAGCTGTATTAACCAAACCAGCATGGTACTGGCACGAAAATAGACACACAGATCAATGGAACAGAATCGCGAGGCCAGAAATAAACCCACACATATATGGACAGCAAATTTTCAACAAGGGAGCAAAGAGCATACAAGGGAGAAAGGAGAGTCTCTTCAATAAATGGTGTTGGGGAAAACGGACAGTCACATGTAACAGAATGAAAGTAGACCATTATCTTACACCATGCACAAAAATCAATTCAAAACGGATTAAAGATTTGAATGTAAGACCTGAAACCATGAAATTACTAGAAGAATACATAGGCAGCACTTTCTTTGACATCGGTTTGAGCAGCATATTTTCAAGTACCATGTCTGACTGGGCAAAGGGAAACAAATGGGACTACATCAAACTAAGAAGCTTCTGCACAGCAAAGGAAACCATCAACAAAACAAGAATACAACCTAACAATTGGGAGAAGACATTTGCAAACTGCATATTGGATAAGGGGTTGATATCCAAAATATACAAAGAACTCATACGTCTCAACAACAAAAAAGCCAACAACCGAACTAAAAAATGGGAAAAAGATCTGAACAGAGATTTCTCCAAACAAGATATACAGATGGCCAACAGGCATATGAAAAGATGCTCAACATCATTAACTATCAGGGAAATGTAAATCAAAACTACAATGAGATATCACCTCTCTCCGGGCAGAATGGCTATAACTAACAAGACAGGAAACAACAAGTGTTGGAGAGGATGTGGAGAGAAGAAAATCCTCATACACTGCTGGTGAGAGTGCAAACTGATGCTGCCACTATGGAAAAAAGTATGGAGATTCCTTAGACAATTAAGAATAGGTCTACCCTATGATCCAGCTATTCCACTGCTGGGTATTTATCCAAAGAAGTTGAAAACACAAATGCATAAAGATACATGCACCCCTATGTTCATTGCAGCATTATTCACAATAGCCAAGACTTGGAAGCAACCTAGGTACCCATCAAGGGACGAATGGATAAAGAAGATGTGGTATTTATACACAATGGAATACTACTCAGCCATAAGAAACGATGAAATCCGGCCATTTGTGACAACATGGATGGACCTTGAGGGTATTATGCTAAGCGAAATAAGTCAGGGGGAGAAAGTCAAATACCGTATGATGACACTCATAAGTAGAAGACAAAAATGACAAACACACACAAGGCAACAGAGATTGGATTGGTGGTTACCAGAGGGGAAGGGGGAAGGGAGGAGGGCGAAATGGGTGATTAGGCACACATGTGGGGTAACAGATGATAATTAGTCTTTGGGTGGTGAACATGATGTACACAGAATTCGAAATATATCATGATGTACTTCTGAAAGTTACATAATGTTATAATCCAATGTTACTGCAATAAAACAAAAGAAAGAAAGAAATCACACAGGTTATAAGTAGACAAGTCTGTTTTCACAGCCAGTCTGGTGGCTGCAGAGTGTGCATATCATGTGTGAACGAGACACTGCAAATGAGACCTCTGAAGCCTGGGGAACGGGGGCCACCTGCTGCCTTTGGTAAACCAAATACTACACAGCAGCTGCCTGTGACTGAATAAACGTTTCCGACAGCTATACCACACTGTTGGCTTGTCTTGAGTTTATAATCAACTTAAAGCCAAAGATGAGTTTCACCTGAACTGTTACTAAGTTTGACCACCTCTTCCTCCAACCCCATTTCTATTTTGCACTTGATCCTTAAAAACAGAGCGGTTTTACCTCCATTCCTGGTAGATGTTCTCTTGCTGCTTGGCTTTAGTGTCCACACTGTCCACTACCCAAGAACCCTGGACTCTGACACACGGGCAGGTAGTCCATTTAAAAGCTCTATATCACTTAAAAAAAAACCTCAGCTGTTTTTGTGTGTGTGTGTGTGTGTGTGTGTGTGCCCCTTCATCCAAGACTTTTATAAAACTCAGCTTAGAGCAGAGCCAAGACTGAAGGACCTTGTCCCGAGGGCAACAGCTTTCAACCTGTTTACCCGTTTCACCCTGTGCACCTATTACACGCTGTGCACAGATGTGACTCTTCTGTTCCAAGAAAAGCACTGAGTGTATTATGCAAAATATAACAGAAATGATATGGGGGTCGTAGACAGAGCAAAGAGGAATTGATGTGGGACACAGGAAATCAGGTGAGTTTGTGCTGGCTGTGTCATGAGGAAAGAGGAACAGAAATGTGTAAGCCTGTGGGGTGGGGGGGAGCTGGTGCACAGGGATGTGTGATGTCCCCGTGGGACAAAGAGAAGGGTTGGAGGCTGGACAATGAGCTCTCTGAATGAAATCATTAAATTTGAAGATGAATCACCTTGCTAAAAGAGCAACCGCTCCTTCCCAGCTACGGGGAGAAGGGGCCGTGGGCAGTACGCACAGGGTTTGCTCCTCGGCGTGAGTTCATGCCCTGCACGTGGTGACACAGAGAACTCAGCAGCACCTACCTCCACACCACGGACAGGCTGTGCTGCTCTCACCTGTTAAACACCTCTGACAAAAGTTATTCAACTGCCCCATCTCTGAGAGGAAGTGTAGTTTTCTTCACAAAAAGAACACTCAAGCTGCAGTGCTCACCATCACAATGTGTATTTTACCAATTACTCATTCTCTAAGCATGAAAATGGCATGCATAGTTCCAATTATCCTCCCACTCCCATGTACAGAAATTTCTAAGTTTCTACCAATAAACAATTGACTTGGCCAGAAATTATCCAAATAGAAAAGGTAAAATTCGTTTAAATGATAGTTCATAGCCAAGATATTTTTAAAAACTTGATTTTTGGAAGGTGTTGGCGATTTTTTTTTAAAAGAGGAACACATTTTTCTTTTGATTGTAACATTCTGGGGAAATTATAAGTATTTTCAGTAATCCGATCCTCCGTTAGAGATTTTGGAAAGAACTTTGTATTTTAGAAACTGGGTCTGAGTCATTTTCCAGAGTTCTGAAAAAAATAAAGAGGCATATTGTATGTTTTATACCAACATTCCCCAGCTCTCGATATCCTGGACAAAAAAGTTTAGAACCATCACTTACCTCCACATCACAGCCATATTCTGATCCATCCAGAAGCACCACTTTGCACTGCATACTTTTAGGCTTTTTGACAATCTTTAATGGAGATCGAGATAGCTTACTGCTAGATGATTTTTGAGAAAGTTTATCGTCTTCAAACTGCTGATATTCGAGCTGCTTTGCAGCTGCAGCAGCAAACTCCTGTTCCTTGTCAGCGACCTGTGAAGAGCAAACAAGCAGCAGTTTTCATTGCAAGACAGGAAATAAACATTGCATCGCTCAGGCAATAACAGAACACCAGAAACAGGCTTTCCGATTCCATAAAGGATGCAAATGTCTGAATTAGGAAATTAGAAATGGATATACATATACAGATATTTATAACGCTAACAGTTTCGCCTAAATAACTTTTGCCATCTAAACGTACCAATAGGGCTGATTTCAGTTTGACTCAAGGGTTTAATTTAGAAGGACTGAGTTAGCAAATGCCACCAAGACTTCACTAAGCAAAGAAGGATACAGATGGACTCCTGACTTTTGAAAAGGCATTGGACAGTACAGGTCTTTAAAATAAACCATCTGGAGTTTATCTGATGTACTCTATTTTCTTCATTCACTGGATCCTTCTATATTCCATGACTATAAATTTCCTAAATACATACAAGGTATCTTACAGACTTTAAGGCCTAGAGAGCTTCAAGTATTAATCTTCTCAGTAACTTTACAGCTATTAAAATACTTGACTTACCTCTAAATCAGTTCAATGAACCTAGCAGCACTAAAATTCACCACAAAGTATCCCCTAAGTCTGCTTCCCCTCATTGTAACGAACCGGTATATGAACAGATCAAATCTGTCCAGAAGCTTTAATCTGCTTTCAAATCACAACAGTCTAGTCCAGGCTAGACTCAAGGCTGCAGAGGACATCCTACCTAACAACGCAGCTCTCCCTTGAGTCATCCCCCTTGGAAATCTCTCTGTGTGATGCTCTCCAACTACTCTTTTTTACACCTCTCTCCTGTCTGTTAAATGACCACCAATGGTATTAGTGCAAATTCAACTCATGGGCCAGACCACACTTCCACTGTTCTGCAAATACACACTGACAGTCCAAAGAAAGATAAGTTCCACAATTCTATTTAGAGCCCGTCAATAAGCATGGGATCTCCTCTCTCATGAACACCCCACATCAGGTAACTACGAGCACACTGGCCTGACGGTAGACAGTGCTGACGGCTCATCACTTCAACTTTTCTTCTTCATTAGCCTCTACAGTTTTACAACACTCTAATAGAATCACAAAGTGGTTTTCTGGTGTATTTATTTTGGTTTTTAGGTATTATTTTCTGTGCTTTTACAATGGCATCATCTATCTTGTTTTCCATCCAGAAGATTACTAATAGTCCTTTCCTCCACTTCCTCCTTGCCCAGAATTCAAGGCAAAGTCTTGAGAAGTTCTTAAGAATAAAGACACCAATTTGCTGAGTGAAGAAACCAAGAAAAAACTGAGCAACCAACCTCAAATACCAAAATAGTTGAGAGAAGGCAAGCCTCCACTAAAACAAGTAAATAAAAGAAAATGCTCTGGCAACCTGTCCAACATTTTATGACTGTTGGTCTTTCCATATCAAAGAATTAAAATAGTAAGTGCAAAAAAGTCATCAAATGCATTAATTTTGGCCAAGTTTGGTAACCTTGGAATTTTATATCAATAACCATAACATATCTTTAAGAGTTTTATAATTTACATACAACTTTTGCACTTTTAATTTACATTTTCTTCCCATCGTAGGCAAAGTCAACAGAAGCTACATTTTCATTTAAATTTTACCTGGAATCAACTTTTTCTATGTATTAGGAAATATAAAATTTCATTTTTCCTCTACTAAGACAAAATTATGTGTATGAGAATAAGCTTTACTGGGTTACTTAACACGTCAACTCCAAAAGTGTCTTAAACTACCACTGTTCAAAAGGAGGCCTCCTTTCTGGAACGCTGGACACACAAACCCATCACTGAGGCTCTTGTGCACATTCTTTAAAGAACTTTAACAATGCTACAAGAGCAGGCCAAGTACCTCAAATGCAACGCCAATCGTAGTCATCTAATGCATTCCAATTTTAACACACCAATATCAAACATTTTAGCAAATCCTCTATTCCATTAACCCTCATAACAGCTCTGGGAGGTAGGTATCATGACCCTCACCTGCACAGGAGGGCAAAGAGGCACAAGGCATCATCTCAACAAACTTTCTGAGTAAACTGGAATTCAAATCCTGCCAAAGCCCATGTTTTAACCATCGCTAAAAATCAAAATGTACTTCATTTTACCTCCAACATAACTGGGCTCCTGGTATGAATCAAAGAATTTTAGAGTGGATGACTAAGAGAATTATCCTTTCTCATCTTTCCATTCCGTAAACGAGGAAGCTGAGGCCCAGTGGGCTTGGAGGAGTTCTCTGTGCCTGGGAAAGTAAGGAGGCAGGAGACAGCACCACCTGAGGTCCCTCTGCGGCCCGTCGCCTTTCCCTCTAATGGCTCAGGACAGTTTCTTCAGTTTTGTTTCAAACATCTGACTACAGAAGATAAAGTGTATTGAATCATGGCTGGGTATAGAAACTCTTCCTTCTCTACAATTATCCCCCACTTTCACGTTATTTCACTTGAGAGTTAAGAGGAAAGAATGGACAAAAGCCAGTCTAGTAGTTGTAAATTTCTGAAGCCTGAACAAAACACCACCACGCTCACTTCTCCACCGAGAGGGAAGGTAAAGGAAAACCGTGACAGCAGCAGCGGCTCCTTAGATTTTGTGTAACAAGCTGGAAAGATAACCCCCAGCTCCCTATCACAAAACATCTGAGATCAGACACAGCATCTATTTATAGAGGTGAAAATAAACATCATTCTTAACATTACCTAAACGCAGAACTTAAAATGCCATGGGAAAGAAAGAAAATAATCAGGTTGTAAACACATAGTTTAATGTTCTAATGTGCTGTGCCTTCCAAAGGGTTTCACTGACATGCTGATTTCACATCTCCTCTCAACCTCTTCTAGAATTTCTAGCTTGACACGCAGATGTCCCACCTATAAAAGGGCCGTCATCTGCTGGGATTCCCAGATTTCCTCACCACCAATGAGCCGGGACTCTAAAAGATGCCGATTCCAGGTTTGAAGGTTGAAGTCAAAGAAATTTAAACAGGGATTCACTCCAGGTCCAAGTATAAACCATGCTTTATTTTTTTGCATGAAAACTTTTAAAAGAAATATTCACACTACACCTGACAACTTAAAGATGCCTAGGAAACAGAATTGAAAATACCCCTGTACATAAAGGAGACAGACCTAGGTGAACATCGGGTAAAAGCAGCTGGCAGCATTAGGGTCAGAGTGACTCCTGGAAAAATAAAACAGCTCCAACCCCTGGGTTTGAATAAAAATCTGGAGCATAATTAAAGCTGTCCTATGGGGCCTTCCTGCGAATCCAGAGGAAACCCGTAACCCGCAGTGCAGATTTCAGTGAGTTCACGTGCTCTCATCAGATGAAGGCACTGCCGGCCAGGGTGTGGAAGGCCATTCACTGGAAGCCTTGACATAGAGTAGACGCCCCTGCTGGGCCCACAAGGGGCGACGCCCACGAGCCCACAGTTCCCCTCCCGCCCAGAGACCGAGGGCGCGGGGGCGCGGGAAGCGGCCGCTCACCTGCTCCGGCGCGGGGCTGCCGGGCGCGGCCGCGAGCACCTCCTGGGCGCGCCGCTCCTCGCCGCCCGCCTCCCGCGGCTCGGCCTCCTGCTCCGGCCTGGCTTCCGAGTCTGAGCCGGATTCGGTCGTCATGGTCGATGGTCCTGCAAGCAGAGACAGGGGACGGCCCATCACTCGGTGTGCTCACTTTCCCGAGCGAGACAACCAGGACGCTGCACGCAAAAGGCCGAGGAGAAGCACAGCCAAAGGGGAAGAAACGCGAGAATCACACGTAACTGTGCTGCCCGCGCCTCACGGACGACTTCTGAATCCAGCACAGAGGCCAGTGCCCGAGAATGGGTCAAAATTAACAATTAACTAGAAGCAAAAGTTGACGTGTAATGATAACAGATTTTACTTCTATTAGATTTTTGCCACAGATGACCATACAATGATATTAAAGTAACGTCATAATAATTACTTAACTTAGATACATTTAATTTCATAAAACTGAATTTGCTGCATCAGTTGGAATATATATTTTAATCTCTTCGCAGGACGATCTAAGAATGGAAGCGGATATTCTTTCTCATTCCCTTTCCCCTTCCCACCTCCACGCAGAAGCCCTGCTCTGCCTGTCCGGACCCCGGAATCTGTCCACTCTTCCACGAACAAATGCCTTTCCCCTTGGATTGCTCCTGACTCTGTTATCCCCCTTGGACTTCGCAACCTCAGCCACAACCACAATGCAGGCTTCCTGGGTGACGTGGATCAGCCCCCTGCTGCACAGGCTGGGCTGCAGCACAGCTCAGCTCAGCTCAGCTCCCCTGCCCTCACAGTTCATTCTCAGACGCTCCTGCCCGGCTCCCTCCTACTTCCCTTGTGTGCTGAAAGAGGAGCTTGTCTGTCTCACGGCTCATAAGGAGATCAAACAGATCTTAATATATAACTGCTCTTATATCCTAAAAAAGACCTTCTAAAATATATAACCACCATCTTCTAATAGTTTGCTAGTCAAGACACTTTAGTATTTCATGCCTCAGTTTCCACATCTGCCAAATGAGGGAACTGAATATGATCATTCCTAAAGAACTCATTTTCTGCGATTATTTTTTTCCCCTACTAATAGACATGCAACTATGTTTAAATCAGTTTTGCTCTAAGCAGCAGGAGGGGTGCCACACAAGATTACCATGTTATTTTAAGTAATTTCTTATCTTAGGTATGTGGTAAATATCTCAAAAACAAATATCTCAGATGGCTATAATTTCCCTTCCTAATTCTAACTTTATGGTAAAAATGTCACCAGTAAGAGGCTTGTGTAATACTTTAAGCAAATGATACACCCATTAGTCTAATATAGAATTATGCAGAATGAAACTCCATAGTAAAATCACCATTTAGTTCCTATCTTCCTAAGCCACAATGGAGTATGTTTAATAATTTGAAGAAGAGGGAACATAACAAATACCGATCTATGTTATAAACTATGCTATAGCTGTGCTTTCTATTTAGGATTCTGTGTTACAATCACAAGCTATTCCTTTTGTTGAATAAAAGACATCAACTTGGCATGTGCTCAGTTGCCCAAAGTGTATGTAAATATCAAGACCAAACATAGAACAAGACAGCGATCCAAATAAAATTAACAAATTTTCTTTTTTCCTGTTACACTTTGGATTTTCAAGCAAATCTTGAAAGTAAGTATTATATTCTCTTTTGCATGCTTATACTAGAAAGTGTTGAGTCTACAGAAAAAATGGTGGAGGAGGAGGAAAGGAGGTAGCATTGTGTAATTCAGAGGCTACAATCAAACTCTGCCTTTCAGAAGAGGAAAGATTAATTTTAAAAATTCAATTCAATAAACTCTTATTGAGTACCAAATATCAGTCAAGCACAGCTCATGGTTTAGAAACAGAGCTAAGTATGTTGTAACCCTCCTCCTCAGCCCAAGGAGCTCATAGTCTGAGAGAGAAATTGACTCTCCCCAGAATCCATTTTCTCTATCTTACTTGTGGAGACTAAACTTTCAGTGTTAGCTGGGACTCCTCCACCCAGCTTGAGACCACAATGAGTTGTGGCCACTCTGGACCAAGGAAACAACAGAGAAAATGGATTCAACGTTTAGGTCATCTTCACAAAGACAAAGCCACTTGCCTTAGATTTCGCTTTCCCATTGGCTGGAAAACAATGAGTGACACGGCTGCCATAAACCTAGTCAGGGAGGCCCCCAGGTTCAGGAGGCCGCCAGCCAGACCCCCTACAGCCTGAGTCCCTGGATGAGCTCACGGGGCACAGCCCACCTGCTCTGGACTGTTATATGAGGCAGAAATCAACTTCTGTTTTGTTTGAACCTCAGCATACCAGTCCACGCCCAAACTAATACACATTCTACAGACTAAAATTCTACCAAAATATAGTTATACTCTAGTGGGTCCTATCTTACTAAAACAAAGTACCCTTCCCTTGATCACACATCCTCCACCAGCTACTCCCATGTTTATTTCTCTGCTTTCCACTTAGCACTTCTCATTAACATTTTTTGTTGACTCTTACTGTCTTCTTCCTCACATCACTGCACATCAGTCTAGACCAAGTTCATCCCACTCGGGGATGCCAGAGGTGTGAGTCACTGAGCCCTGGGGCCTGGCTGATGGAATTTCACTCGCTGAGCTAACCGGGCTGCAGTGGACTCCTACATCTCTTGGGGCTCCCTCACACTTCATAAATTCCCTTCTGGAGGAAGGAAAAAGTGTATCTTCTTCATATGAACGACCCCACCAAAGGAGAGTTCACAGGCGTGGACCCTGAGCTACCTCCTGGCCGGCAACTGGGACACTACGCGAGTCTGTTCTCTTCTTTAAGATGAGTGGGTTGAATTCCATCCCTCCTGCCTATGACAGTCTAATCCAGAGTGGCAATGGCTTCCCCATCACTCTTTCTCTGCGACCACCCCAGTCTGACTCCATTGGGGTGGCTCTTGTGGACAATGCAATGGACTATCCACTATTGTCTGTTTTCGTCCCCTCTGACCTTTTAGCAGCCTCAACCCAGGTGAGGAGACTTTCCCTGTCAACATGTTTCCCATCTTGAGATTCAGAACACACCGGACTCCTGCTTTTCTCCTGTCTCTGGCTACTCCTTATCTAATCTCTAAATGTGGAAATGTCCTAGGAAACTCAATTCCAGGCCCTCTTCTCTTCTCTCTATTTTCTCCCCAGCTTATGATATCATTTCCCAGGGCTTTAAATACTTCCTATAAGCCAACAGCTCACATATTCATATTTCTAGTCCAAACCTCTGTTCTGAGCCTTAAAACTCAGCTGGCCAATTGCCATTCCTCACTGATACCTCACAGGTATCTCTGGATTTTTCTCTCCCTAATCTGTTCCTCTCCTCCCTCACCTTCCTCATCTAAATAAACGGCAATGGTATTCCTTCAAGCCAGAATTCTAGAAGTTACCCTTGACATTTTCCTTTCCCTTACCTTCCTTATCTAACATACAACAGAAAGTTTTGCAAAATATGTAATTTTGAAAATACATATATAAATATACATGGCCAAAATATATCTTAAATCAGTCCTCTGCCACTACACAAGCTACCATTTCTTTCCTGGACCTTCGATCATCTCTTCCCTGCCTCTAGTCCTGACCGTCTCTGTCTGTTCTGTCTGATCTTCATAAAATATAAATCTAGTCAAATCACTCACGTTAACAGATTCCCAACGTGCTCGAAGTAAAATCTAAACTCAGTTATCATGGCCTTTAAGCATGAGCCTAGGCCTCAACCTCCCATCCACACCCAGTGGCACCGCCTACCCTTCTCGCCCACTCAGATCCAGCCACGTGGTCTCCTTTCAGGTTCTAAACCACATCAAGGTTTTCTTCCTCCAGGTGTCTTAGACACGCTGTTCTCCGCAAGAACATTTTTTCTCTGCTCTTCAAGTGGCGGACTCTCCATTCCTCAAGTGTTGCTGAGAGGCTTTCCCTTTTTACATAGTTATTCTAATCGTGTCTGATAGTTTCCTTCCTGTAACATGTCAGGTGTTGTAATTATTCAACCCTCCCGCCCCAACCTCCTTCCCATATATGAAAGGGCAGGAATCATGGGGGTTTATACCCCAATATACCCAGTACTAACACAGTACCCAGAACATAGTAGGTATATCAATAATTATTTGATGAATGACTAAATAATAAAATCAACCCCATTTACTATCTTACCTGTGTATCTGAAGGTGTACTAACTCTTCCTTATAGCCTTTAATCACTGTTTAAGATCTCTCTTAAGGGGTAAACAGTAGGTATTTCTGTTTTTCTGAAAAACAACTCAGTTTAACTTTCAGAACTGAAATCTCCCTCACAGCAGTAGACACTATTGGTCTGTTCACAGTATAATGCTTTTATCAGTAAACCAAAGGGTCTTTGAAAAACACAAAAAGAAAATGTTTAAGTGGTTTAGAGAATCTCTATAAAAGAGTAACCGAAAAACCACTAGATCATGAACTTAAAAAGTAAATGACACTGGAAAAAGCATATTTTAAAATGATGCTAAATTTTTCCTAGACAGTTCTTACATATAAATCATAGTATTAAAAAAAATTTGGTACCTCCAATATCTTCTATTTTCTATGAATATATTTAGAATTCTGTCATTATTATGTGTTTCAGCAAATAATCAGACATCAGAACTGTCAAAGAAGCAGAAAGCCAGAATCATATCTCAAAATATAAACATTTGAATGCATTTTCACTTGAAAATCTACGTCTAATCCTTATAGATATAATACATAAAAATGATCAGCAGTAAGTTGCCATGTGTGACCCTGGATGACTAACTTCATTTCTTTAGTCTTCTCCTTCCTCTTTCATAAAACAAGGGGTTCAGACTAGAACTTAGTGCTAAGTGAGGTGAGCGTGGGGGAGGGGCGAGGAGGGGAAGGCAGGAAACGCAGATCTCGTCCCAGTTTAAGCTAACAGCTCTGTCATCTCTTTCACCATCTTCTTTCAACTTCTTTACTAGTGAAACATAATGAGTTTTTACACAAATGTAGTCGTAATATACATCTAATATAAATGCACCCGAAACTTTAAAAGGTGTCAAATATGCGTTAAAATAGGAATCTTTCTAAACACATGACATTAGCTCCCAGACTCATTAT